GGGCCGGGGGTGGGCCGGGGTGCACGCGGCCAGACAAAGCGATTGGGCCGCTCAAAGACGATGAAAGGCGCGGCCCGGTGGACCTGGCGAGGCACTAGGTGAGCAGCAGCAGCAGCAGCACATTCGTTTTGCCCCGCCGTTTGATGAAAATGTGTATATGGGAGGCACAGGCAAGGATTGGTGTGTGTGTGCGTGTGTGCGTGTATGTTTGTGTGAGTGGAGGGGCTCTCTCTGCGCAGGTGGATGGCGCGGAGGGAGCGAGCGGGAGGGAGAAAGTTTCCAGCACGCCGCGCTTCTTCTTCTGCCACTCCCATAAAGAGGGAGGCTTGTTAGAGAATTTCTATAATATTTGTGTGATTTTTTTTTCCTCCTCCGTTTCCTTGCTGGCGGCTTGCGTTCGCTCCACCCGCCGCCCGCCCCTATAGCCTTGGCGTCGTCGGTGAATGACGACGACGACGTCGCCGCTCTCAATGCCCTTCTGTTGCTCTCCACTTTGCTAAAGTTGCGGGTTTGTGCGCTTGTGCGGGAGCACAGCGGAGCACAGCAGCCGAGCGAAGAGCGGAGCGGGGCCAGGGCATTGGAAATGATAATAATCCACACAATTGTCGTACTGCGACTCTGGGCCCTGCCACGCCCAGTAATCCGGGCGACGCGTTGGCGGCACTAGCTCCCCCCCCCCCCCTCCTCTCTCTCCGCACCACGCCACGCTCGCCCCCCGACGTTGCCAACTATGTTTTCCATCAGGTCGGCCTTCTCATCTGCGCGTCGCGCGTCTCGCGCCGTCCGTCTTAATGGGGAGACAGCAGCTCGGGGAATGAATGAATGGGAGGGGTGAATGGGAGCGGGGAGTGCGGCTATGCCTGCCTGTTCGCCCTGGCCGCGGAGGAGCTGCGCCAACTTCTTTTCAGCCCCGCCCCCCTCCCCCTCTCTCTTATTTGTCACGTCCGCCTCTTCCGGTGACACCCCCGCCCCGCCCAGCCTCGCCCAGCCTCGCCCTTTTCGCTTTCAATTGCAAACCAAACGCGGCCCGCTGTTTGTTTGTTTTCCCCCTCTGTCGCGAGATGATCATGATGACCATTTCCAGTTAAAGTGTCACACTGCGGGGAGCCTCCATCTCCATCCGCGGCTATGCTCGCTGCTGCTGGAGGCATCCGACCTCAGGGCGCGTTTTCCCCTCACCGCACGTGGTTTTCACTTTCCACCCGCAAGCAACCCAACGCCGTCTTCCATATTTCCCAGAGGTGCCTTGTTAGGCATTCATTCATTCCGCCCCAGCCAGACAGGCACAGTGACTCAGGATGACGGCCCAAATTTGGAGAGCGGGGTGGAGGGAGCAACTGAACCCCCCAACCCCAGCAGTGCCAACGCCACCTCTCAGGTGTGTCGCATAGAGCCCTTCAGCTGCAGTCCCTTCTGTCGTATTGTGAGTCTCTCTCTCTCTCTCCCTCTCTCTCCCTGTCTCCCTGTCTCCCTCTCTCTACTCCGCTCGTGACCTTTCCGTATCTTTCACAGACTGCGACATTGTGTCTCGGCTGCCGCAAAGTTTCACCAAGCTGCAGGAGAGACAGGGGCCTTGAGACTGCAAATAAATTACGAAATGATACATCCCGCTATTTTCCATGTCTCACGTGGTACGAATGAATTTTTCGAAAGTTCCGGAGTTCTGCTGAGCAGAGAAGGGAGCATGCTCCACTCCATGTTCCCGCGGCTGTGGAAGGGCATGCTCAAATCATTGTTTAGGATTCTTTTAGGATTCTACAGGTCTTATCTTTCACTTTAAAAACAATGTCTCATATTTTGAGGAAAAGGGGAGAACTTTGAGGGACTCCCGTGTGTGAGGAATGGTCCTCCGATCTCGCCTCAGATTTTGAGGAATCTTTTCAAATCCCTCATTTTTTGAGGACACTTCCCTCGAAATCTGATGAGTTTTCGTCAAACCAGGGGAGTTCCTCAAAGTTTTCCCTTTTCTCTTAAAAATTAAACATTGTTTTTACCGTGTTCTGTACTTGTCAAGAACACGGAAAAAAATGAATTGGTCGTCATAACTAAATATTAGTTAATTTCGTGACAATCGATCAAAAAATTGTTGAGGTAACTAATAATTTGTTGTCAGGACCAAGATTAAGTTGCCAGAGCCAAGAGTTGGTCGCTAAAACCAAGCACGTTTTCTGCAGGAGCCAATTCGTGGTTTGTTTTTAGAACGAATGCGTTAGCTCAAGCACCGAACAGCTTGTTCTGACAACTTAATCTAGGTTCTAAAAACAAATTATTAGTTACCTCAACAATTTTTTGATCGATTGTCCCGAAATTAACTAATATTTAGTTCTGACGACCAATCCATTTTTTTCCGTGAACACTTTGTGATTGTGTAACACTAGATTCTGATCGTATTTTTGCTCTCTGCTTGCAGGTGATGGTCCGGTGGAATCAGTGATTGGTGAGTCTCAACTCCCCCTCAGTTTGTTACATCCAGGGAAATGAAACATTGTAAGGCCTCTATCATTAGCGACGTCGTTCTTTCTTTTCGTGCCCTGTCGTAATTAACGGCCAATTTTGTATTTTACATAACCTCCTTGTTTCGTTCCTGTCTTTTTTATTTGATGGAACAAAAGACAATCGTCGCGCTAACGAACTTGCAAGAAAAGAATAAAAGAGGCTAATTGCTGCAACCAATGGGAATAAGGGAGTTGAGCGGTTTATTCGGTCTACCGCTTTCCGGGGTGAAAAAAAAGGACCAGAGGCAGCAGCCTTGCCTCCTTTGGTCTGAACGGCCTTATATCCTATGCCAGTGGAGGTGTCTGTCTGACCTGCACTACTTCTCCTCCCACCGCCAGCTCCCCTTGATTGAAGTGGACCACGCCCAGCTCTCCGCCAACACGGCCGATGGGGCCTGGGTCGAGAACGAAAGCGCCAGCCAGGATGGAGGTGGATTTTAGTCTTGGATGGAGGAGAACCACGTGTGTGTGTGTGTGTGTGTGTGTGTGTGTGTGTGTTTTCAATGTTGTGGTCTGCCGCTCCGTTTTAAACCTCCCGCTCTCAGTGCGCAGAGGGTATGCCCCCGTCTGGCTCGCCTCTGGGCTCCGGCCAGCGCCAGCCGAGCTCTTGTGTCGCACCGATGGACATGAAGGAGATGGAGGAGGAGGAGAAGGAGGAGGAGGTGGTCTAGCTGCAGCAGTCCTCTGCACTGACTTATCCGAGCGCGCATGTGTGGGTGAGAGAGAGAGAGAGAGAGAGAGAGAGAGAGAGAGAGAGGTGGAGGGAGGTGCCCGCCTGTAGGGCATAGGGGATCAGTTTTGGCCGTCCCCCTTCCAGCTAGCAGCAGTAGGATAGGCCCCTCGGGTCCCATGGGGAGCGCGCTGGTTTCCACTGGGGGTCCCGACTGGGCACTGATCCTTCAGCCTCAAACAGAAGCAGGAAACGTCACCGCCCTGCCTGCCAGGAGCCCGCTGACCCACCCGCCGCCCTGCAAACCCCTCCCTCCTTTAACTGTATATCCTCCGTGCCACTGGCTGATGCTTGTTTTTGGTCCAATCCCATCACGGGCGTACCTCCCGTTCCTAACGGGACGCTGGATAGTGACAAGACGACCCTCGTAATACTTCTGGCCGCCCACCCCCGGCCAGCGTCACGCAGCTCAACCCTTTTCCTCCTTTTCCATCTTTATATTTGAAATTTTCCCGCCACCTGGTGGTAGAACAGTAGCAGTGGGACAGGAAAAAAAGAAGTGAAGGTGCTTGTTTTCTCGGTCTCTCCTCCTTCCCTCTTTTTTACTCTCGGAAGGTTCCCCCCTGCGTTTATTTCGCTCGGCTTGTTTTTAGTTGTGGGAGGGTGGGTAGGGTAGGAGGAGGAGGGGGAGGAAGGTTCGCAGCGAGTGGCCGAGCAGGTACATGTCGCGGCCTGCGGGCTTTGGGATGGAGGGAGGGGGAGGAGGGAGGGGCCACACATGGTGTGAGAGGGGCTTAGCGGTAATCCGGCCGCCCCTCCCCTCCCCTCGGGTAGGTCGATGAATCCCCGCGCGTTATTGGGCGTCTGCCCGGGGGATCCCCCCTTGCGTCTTTTTATTATCCCTCGATTGGCTAATGCCTTGAGGCCCCACAAGGGGCTGCTGCTGCTGCTGCTGCTGCTGCTGCCTCTGCTGCCTCTGCTGCTGCTGCTGCTGCTGCTGCTGCTGCTGCTGCTGCTGCTGCTGCTGCTGCCGACACTGCCGCCCCACATGGACCCCGAGGGGCGGCCCGGCCCGGCGCCCCTCATACGGCCCAGCGACAGCTGCGCCCCGGAGGAGATGGTCAGCCGCTGGACTTGCCCCCGCCACGCCACGCCACGCCACGCCACGCCTCGCCACGCAGGACGCTTTGGGATTATTTTGTAATCCCCGGCCGCGCGTCTGGAAGGAGGCGCATTACGGGTCGGGTCCGGGGGCCGGGCCGGCTGCTGGGGGAGGAGGCCGGACTGCGTGTACAAGCGAGGCGCCGCTGTGTGTCCTCGAGGACATTAAACTGGCATAATAGGGGGCGCGCTAACCATAGGCCTCTGCCAGCGCCTGCCGTCT